GTCTGTCTCCTGCTCGAATCGAGTCAATCCTCACGACAGTCACGAGAGTAAGAGAAGGCCAGTCACTCACTGTCAGACAGTTTCAAAGGCTGTTGGGCCTGATGGCAGCAGCATCCAACGTGATACTTTTGGCCTGCTGTACATGAGACCCTTACAGTGGTGGTTCAGAACCAAGGGATTTTCCCCGAGGGGGAATCCGCTTCGCATGATCAAGGTTACGCGGTGATGCTTACGTGCCTTAGACATGTGGAAGAAACGTTGGTTCCTGGTTCAAGGCACGATGTTAGGGGCTCCTTGGCATCGCGTAACGCTAACGACGGATGCCTATCTCACAGGCTGGGGAGCGGTCATGGGTGGTCGCTCTACTCCGTGGCACCCTGAGGCTGAGGCCGGTACAGCGCACTAAGGTGTCCTCATGGGACCTGGCTGTGGTTCTTGAGGGCTTATGCAATGCCCCCTTTGAACCCATAGAAGAAGTTTTGGTCAAGTTGCTCACGCTCAAGACCATCTTTCTCCTAGCTATTTCCTCATTAAAGGATCGGGGATCTTCAGGCACTTTGTTTCGTGCCTGGAATTTGCTCCAGGCATGGTTAGGGCATTCCTTGACCCGAGGGCCAGTTTTGTTTGTTTTGGTCCGCCAAAGAAAGGATCTCCGGCGACCAAGCAGACTATGAGTAGGTGGGTGGTTGAGGCCATCTCGCTAGCCTACGAGTCCTCTGGCCTCCCGTCACCTATGGGGGTCAGAGCGCACTCGATTGGGAGTATGGCGGCCTCCAAGGCTTTTAACTTGGGTGTGGCCTTGCAGGACATTTGTGCTGCGGCGGGCTGGTCCTCTCCGCACACTTTTGTCCATTTTTACAACCTAGACCTGGCATCTACCCAGGTTCCCAAGTTCTCTCTTCATGATGTGCTTGCAAGATACACACACAGGCAGGGACTTGGTAGTATAGCGCAGTGGGTATTCTTGTTCCCAAAGCGATTTCGACGCAGCTCGAGTTCCTGAAGGGGAACGTCTCTAGGTTACGTATGTAACCATGGTTCACTGAGGGAACGAGACGCTGCATCTCTTTGCCATACTCCCTGCATCCCTCCAGGCGCTACTTCATCGAAGCTGGTTTGCGCTCTGCCGGATGCGCTTTTATACTTTCTGGTGCTTACGTCACCCCACTCGTGACGTCTCGCTACTCCATTGGACTGATTTGACACATGCTTCAGAACGCGGTCACGCAGGAGCGTTCCCAAAGCGATTATGTTATTATAAACATTATGTTATATTGCTCTGCATTGCATTGTATTGTGTTTGTTGCATTCCATTGCTTTGCATTACATTGTATTGTGTTGTTGCAGCATTCCTTTGAGCTATATTTGCATTACGTTATATTACATGACAGAGCAATGTTTCCACAGCCTTTCTTATCTTCTTGACTTTCTTGTAGTATTTTTTTCTGTTTCTTTTCTTTTTCCCACTCAGAGTTAGGAATTTGAACAAACTCATAACCCTAAGTAGCGAACTTTCGGCATGCATCTCATTTCAACTTCATTTGCCATAAGGATAATACATCAATGAGGTGTGCTCAAACTTGTGATTTTCACCTTGCAAACATAAAATAGGTGAAAAAAATCCCATAGCAACACTCTAGCAACCACATTTGTAAAAGCAAGTACAGCTCACATTGCTTTAAAAAAAAATTCATAAAGCTATCATTTAGTGACTTTAATGAAATGAAGCGTTATGTTCACAGCGTGATACATTTAACTGAGTTATTAATATCACATATTATACATTTGATAGATAATTTAAAGAAACTTTCAAATGAAAATCATTAAGAATCTACTTCCATGTGATGAACTACACTGTTCGTATGTGTTTAAAATGAAATCTGGCAGAGACAAAATACTATAAGGTAACCGCTGCATCTAAAGGCTTTTTCTTCAAATGAGGTATGATGTGTAATGAATAGATATCATTTGTCTAATGACAGATTATTATCAAAGCCCTATGATCTGGCAGTAATTTTACACATTGAATAATAACAGTGATCATCTACAGGTGAAAAGAGAAATGCATGATGTCATCTTAGGCCTGACCTTTTTTTTGTGGATTAAATATGTATTTTTTTTTATCACTGTTTTTCCCCTCAATTATATTCATGCAATTGAGCTGCTCTCAGATGTAGGGAAAGCGCGACTGATTCATTAAACCAGTGTAATTACGGGGCCGATATAGACGTTAATGGGTCAATGGAAATCAATTGCGGTTAACCTTTCCTAGCCAGATATCGGCCCCTAACGATTGTGAAATCTCACAGCTGAAGTGTTGCAGCAGAGATGCTTCAGGCTTGTTTGTGAGAGAACCGCAGTATTGATTGATGCCGGTGTGCTGGATAGGGAGCGTGTGCTTCTTTTGCAGCATCATGTTACATTGATGAGATGCTGTTTGTGCTTGATTCTTATTGGCTGCATCCAGTATCTTAACTTTTATAAAGAATATCTCTTTGGATTTGAGACTTTAGTCTTTGCAACTTTACAGATCTTCTTTATGCACCAAGAGCTTGTAACACTCCAAAGAGAAAGGAAAAATGGAAAATCGCATCATATGACCTCTTTAAATGTCTTTACTGTCACTCTTGATCAGTTTAATGCAGCCTTGCTGAATAAAAGTATTAATAAAAGAATTTTCAAAAAAAAAAAAAATCTGACCCCAAACATTTGAATGGTAATGTTGCATGTGTTATTTTTTATTGATACTTTTTTTTGTATGTCCAAAAGGATTTAGCATCACAGTCACATAGGTGATATTAGTAGGAAGGACAATCTCATTCTAGTACATTTTAAATGTTTGTGACGGCTAAAAGTTAATTTTGTCAACTTTTAATAGATGATTTAAAGAAAAATTTGTTTTAAAAGAGAAAAAGTAATTTGCAAATGAGTTTAACTTCAACATGTTCTCTGGGGAAAAAAAAAAACATTATCCCACACAATTTTGCTTCTCATACTTGAAAACAAGACAAAAGTATTGATTAAAACAGATTTTTTTTTCCTGTGTAGGTGTATACTGTACAGTATGTGTGTTTGTGTGAGGCTGTTTTATTAGTTTCAGTGCTTTTTCTATGATGCCCTAAAAACAAAAAAACAACAAAAAAAAACAGTTCTAACAGTTTTTCCAGTACTGCAACCAAAATGACCAGCCACATCATCAGCCAAAAAGAAAAAGCCCAAAAGAGTGTCGTTCATGTTCGAGGTGACATCCCCAGATGATCCGACCCAACTGATCCCCAAAGAACAAGTAGAACAAGCAGTGAGGTGAGTCAACGCTCTGTGCTGAAGGTTTATAGGTTTAGACTTGATGTGCTGATGGCTTACTAGATGGTATACAGCACATACTGCAAAAAAGTATGTCTCTGTTTCAAAACTTAGGTGCCTTGCTTGAATGCTGACTATATAAGCAGTTACTATAAAGTTTTAAAAGTATATTTAAAAAAAAAAAAACTTAACTTGCAGATAATTAAATATTAATTAAATCAAGGGCCACTTTTTGTATTTAAAGAGAGTACACTTTATAACTATGTTTCTAACACCATGTTAAAAAGTGCATTTTCTAATAATGTCAAATTAAAAGTTTTTTGTCTTGTTTTTCCAGTACAAGAATTGTTAATAAACATTCTTAATTCATTGCTTATTTCTCATTTACTTGAGAAGCTAAATTTCTTAAGACATTAAGTCTTGTTTAACAAAACATTGATCCAAATTAAATGAGTTTATGAAAAAGTATGTCAGTGGGGTCAGAAAAATAATCTTGTTTTCCCTTTAAATTCAGTCTATTTTTCTGACCACACTGAGACTTATTTTTCTTGTTTTAAGCATAAATCATTTTAGCAAAAAAAAAAAAGACCCAAAACCAAACTTCTAAATGCGAGTATATATCATTTAGAGATTGTATTTTATGTAAATGTATCTGTTTTGATTTAATACCGTCACCTCAATTGTAATTGTTTGTCTATTCATTCATTCAAAAACACTAAACACAGAAAAAATACAAATTCAGACATAATTGGATTGTTAGTTATTTAAAATTACTTAATTGTAGTTAGCATTGTTAACTTGTAGCTTGGCTGTATAGGCCTATTTAACTACTTTATAAGTAGCTTGGACAACTAGTTTCAATAGCTTCCCCAGCAGTGGTTAATATCAGGTGCAAACGGCGTCTTGGACACAGACATACCTTACTGTTAATTCCCTTTATTCTGATTTGAGCCATTTATGATGGTTTATCCACCACAGAGCCAAAGAAAAAGCTGCTGGTCTTTCAGAAGAGGATGAAGGAATAGTCAAAGAGAACGGAACCGCTTTCTCTGGTCTTGGAGGGAAAGAAGGCATCTATAATCAAGTGTTCTCAAATGACGACCGCTTCACCAAGCTGTAGACACTGATGACAGCCATAGAGAAATAGTAAAGCCATTCAGTATCACCTTTAAAATGCTTTAGTTATAACAAAGAATGCGCATAATTTATAGTCTACTCTAGACTGTCCTGGCCTGCACAGAAATAAGATTGAGTATTTATATATTAGTTTGTTGAGTTTTGTGGCTGTTAGTTTCAAAGCTAACACACGTGTCAAACATGATGCAATGCCGTAACAAGCCACAACACGGATTCTGTTTTAGAAATGGAAAAACTAAATTTTTTTAAGAAATTGTTTAAGACATTCAGTTTATTTCTGCGATGCCACAGCTGGAACATACAAACTACGAAAATGGTAATCTCAAAAGTATCAAAAAATACTTTTTGATACTTCTCCCAAAAGTATCAAAAAATGGTACTTATTGTGTGCTTTATTAAATGTTCAAAGGTGTGAATTGGAATTTATAGTCATACTGAAAATGACAATGGATAATTAACCTCAGATCTTGAAAATAAATTTAAGAAACCATTAATGCTATAACCGTGAACTCAGTGTAAACAGACAAGTGTATTCCATGACAAAAAATTGTTTCCGTCACTTAGTAAATACTTTTAAATCATGTTAAAATTGGTTAATATTTATGAATTTGATCAAGTACTTACTACGGAAGTTCCGCCATGGAACAAAAATATGAAAAAGGTAAAGGCAACTTTTCTTTTTTGAGATATAATCTCAGAATTGCAAGATATAAACCCTGAATTCTGAGAAAAAAAAGTCTAAATTGTGAGAAACGCAGAATTCGAGCTATAAACTTTAAGCTATAAATTACGAGTTTTCAACTTGCGATTACAAGATATAAACTTGCAATTGTGGGGGGAAAAGTCTGAATCGTGAGATATAAACTTGCAATTGTGAGGAAGAAAGTTGCAATTATCTTTTTAATATTTTGATTTTGTGACAGAAATAAACTTAACATCATTTCGCGCTCAGAGAGAGACCTGCCCAACATGCTCTTCTGATTGGCTGGAGATTTATCGATTTTGACGCATTTCATAGCCACGGCATGTCTGTGTACAGAAAATTATGGTAACACTTTATTTTAAAGATCAAATTTGAGCTATTAGTATGCATATTACTAGCATATTGGCTGTTTATTAGAAGGCTACTTATAAAGCACATATTAACGCCTTATTCTGCATGACTGAATTTTAGATCTCTTAATCCACCCCGTACCTAAATTTAACAACTACCATACTAACTATTAATAAGCAGCAAATTAGGAGTTTGTTCAGGGAAAACTCTTAGTTAATAGTGAATGTGTACCCTATTCTATAGTGTTACCAAAATTACTTCTCGGTGGAATTTTATCGCATTGCATCTGGTTAAGATATGGAGTAACATCAATATATTAGTGTAGTACTAAAAGCTGACAAAAATAGTTAGAAGCAGTTATTCTGTAGTTAATGTTTGGCTATTTAATAAAGCCCTTCAATATGTCCCACCCCCAACTTCCTGTTTAAATGGGAAATGTGTCAACTCGGGAAAGAAAACTGTGCTTGTCAAACATTTCATGAGGTTTTTAATTCAGCTGACAACGCTATAGGAAAATCTGTAGCATATGCTGACATCTGAATTATGTTATCAGGTGCCCGTTTATTCAGCAACAATGTTTAATGAATTATTAGATGGAATCAATCATTTATGAAAAGACGAGGAGCTTCTACGCAGTAACAGATTAGGCAATTTTCTAGTGTCAAAAACAAGCCGTTTTTTACTCATTATGAGATGTGGGTTTGTGCATCCATCACACTTCAACGCCTTAATTGATTGGATCCTCCACTGAGTGGGAAGGAAGATTGAAGAATATTAAGAGAAGATCTCCCTGAAGAATATTAAATGGTGAACTTCTGAGAACGTTCCTATCATGAGATTTCCTTCACGCTCTTCCACCAATTGGATCCTCCATCTTCAGGAGCCACACACAGGGCTAGTCACAGAGCGATAACAGACCAATAACAAAAGAAAGCTCATTATTGTATTGATGCCCTGTAAAAATAGAGATTAATACAATAGATCATCACCAGAGACCTACTGCCGTGTTTAATAAGTTCTTCAGGTAGTAGTTAATAATCACAGCTGCTAATTGAAAGGTTGAAGGTTCCAACCCCTGGATTTGTCATACCTAATCTTGAATTCAAACTTGTAATTTTAGCACATGTATATTCTTTTTACATTTGGATACGCACTGATACGTAGGCTACAGTAATACTGTATTGACAGCATTTAAAAAAAACACTTGCATATTTAACTTTAGAAAAACAATTAAATGTTTAAGGTACATTACATATTGAATATATGGAATTCATAAATTGATTTAAAAATGATTATTTTAGTGCTAATAAGTTTATTCAATGTCTAATTTTACATTAAAACGAAGTCTGGAACTGAAGACAGGGAAGTAGCAGGCAAGTCCTCAATGTGGAGAGACGAGACCAGACAAGGAAGACGTGGAGAGTAACTGCCCTGTATAAGGGCTTGATGAGATCATCTGTGGCAGGTGTGGTGATGACTGACTGAGTGCAGGTGTTGACCAGAAGGGATGCTGGGAAATGTAGTTCCCAGTAGACTGGGCTGGTGGCTGAGGATAATGAATGGACTGGGGATTGTGACAATTAGATTAATTTTAACACTGTTCTGATTTTTATTCTTTTTTTTATTTTTTTAAAAAGGTTAGGACTGGTCACAATAGTTTGCTATTGTCATAAAATAGTGTGTTTCACATATTTTATACTGGAGTTTTAATGATGATTAACTTCCACCATACAAAGAGTGCAAATGACTTTAATTTAATTAGTCCCATCTGGATTTCATTTACGAATAAATTTACCATGAAAAAGATTTTCTCTGACTAAATCTCTCATCATGTATGGATAAATGAGAATATTACTATGTCTTTGTATTGAACTCTGTCACCTGCGGTGATGCTCTTGCAGGTTGAAAGTTTCAGCAATTCCCACCAGCCTATTGATTTGTATGTATTTAGCAGATGTTTTCATCCAAAGTTATTTACAATGCATTTAAAGTATACATTTTTATCAGCTCTTGCATTCCCTGGAAACTGAGCCTTGGAGTTGCTAGTACCTCATTTTAGTGTAAACATTTGTACATCTCTAAGTTTGTTCATATCAAAACATTTACATCTTAGAATGCTCTTTGATGTTCATTTTCCCAAAGTTTAGAAAAATGCAGTTAATGTGCAGCTCATTCAGAATCTAGCAAATGCGAAGGAGATAAAACAGGCTGCACAGACAAAATATAAACTCCCATTAGAGCAAATGACTGACAAGCACAACATCTGTTGTTTCTAAAGATTCATTGCTGGAACTTAAAGGAGTAGTTCACCCAAAAATGTATATGATTTGTTGAAAATGTACTCACCCTCAAACCATCCTAGATGTAGACGAGTTTGTTTCTTCATCAGAAAAGATTTGGAGAAATGTAGCATTACATCACTTGCTCACCAATGGATCCTCTGCAGTGAATGGGTGCCGTCAGAATGAGAGTCCAAACAGCTGATAAAAACATCACAGTAATCCACAAGTAATCCACACCACTCCAGTCCATCAGTTAACATCTTGTGAAGTAAAAAAGTTGCATGTTTGTAAGAAACAAATCAATCAAGACGTTTTTAACGTACAAACTGTTGCTTCTGGTTGAAACATAAGTCCTGTATCCATAATATTGCTTTCTCCAGTGAAAAAGTTGTTTTGTCTGAGTCAAGAGAGAAATATGCACAGATCAAACACCGTTTACAAGTCAAAACTGTTCTAAACAAATATGCTGATGGATTTTCATATGAGAGATCACAACGCTTTCTTGTTGTATGTTTTTTTTTCTAATACATA